CTAGACCCTAGACCCTAGACCCTAACCCTAAACCCTAAACCCTGGACCCTAAACCCTAAACCCTAAGCCCTAATTTAGAGAACTACCCCATTTTCGTGCTAAGACCGAGGCCTGTCCTGGAGCGCACAGCCGCAGCCCTTCCAGGTGGCCAACTGGCTCCCCGAGGCTTTTTGGGTGCTCTTCGGGGGGTTTGGGTTTTAGGGGTTTGGGTTTAGGGTATAGGGTTTTAGGGTTTAGGGATTAGGATTAGGATTTGGGTCAGGGTTGTAGGGTTTAGGGCTTAGGGTTTAGGAGTTGGGGAGTTGGGGTTTTAGGAGTTGGGGAGTTGGGGTTTAGGGGGTTGGGGGTTTAGTTTAAGGATCTGGAGGCTCTTATTGAATGTAGGGGTCGGAGCACTTCGTCATACTCGTCATCTTAGGGCTAGCCTCAAGGTTCCTTTTTATGCCCGTACGATACTTAGGGTTCAGGGTTTAGGGTTTCCTAAACCCAAACCCCATTCTAATTGTTAAGGCTCCTATATTCGAGTTTCTGGCTAGTATGAATAGTACGAATAGGTAATTAATAAGAGCCTTCGCCATGTCATACAGAAAAATTGTCGTAGCAATAGTATGCAATCTTCGTAGTCGTATGTTTAGCAGTGAGAGCAGCACTAAGCGCAATCACAATAATAGTACCTGTTCTAAAATAGAAGTAGCAACTATCGTGCAAGTAGCAACAATAGGGACAATAATGATCATACTACAAGCATCGACCAGAGTAGGAACGACGACGACTGCTATGGCGAATGATGGTGACGGCAGGCATCAACATGATCCCAAGTAACACATTGCCAGGGTAACCAGAAGCAAATGAATGTTTCATGTTGGTAGATAACAACAACCATGATCACAATGTTTGTTTTGCATTTGATGGGTAATATGCAAGTATACTGAGTGATAACAAGCAATACCAGTACCTATTAATTACTGGCGCAGGTCAGCGGCTAGAAGTCATGGCACCAGTTCAACAACACTAACCTCAATAACGCATCGCTTTCAGTGGTAGTATGAGTCGGTTACAAGCCGCAGTACGGTACAATGAAGAACCAGCGAACTAGCCGTATAAACTTTGTCGTCGTTCCGGTCAGTCCTAGTAATGGCTACCCCGATCGTGGTTCATAACAACTACACTAGCAACTGTTGATGAAGTCACAGCGACTGAAACTTCTAGTTAGTAGTTCGCAGCAACAAAGAATGTTGGATACCCGCCATAACTGCATTACATATTGTAATGAGAGTCACTAAACTTGCCACTGACTATCACCACAACAGATTCTGCAAGCATCACCGGACATCTGATCCAACAACATGTTGGACCGAAGGATGACGTGTGCGCTGTCTCTATCTGCACATGCAAGTTCAAAGAGCTTCCCTCGCTCAGGATTTCTAGATGTTGCGATGAAGCTTTCTGCGGATACAGTCCAAAATTTGTGAAGAAATTTATGACGTAGCGGCTTGGTTCCGAAGTTTAGGTTTTCCGCGGATGGTTCGGGACTGCCGGTGGGGCGCGCGTTCTTCCGTAAGATGTTGCTAGAGATTGAAGTTCGGCTTGTTCTTCCATTAACGAGGGTGTTTCCAAAAGCATGAGTCGCCTTACTTCACCTGAGGCATGTAATAGCGGTACCGGCTGTTTTTCTGTTGGTCACTGTTGATACACGATGCCGTTGTAGTCGTTTCCCACGGAAGCTTGCTTTTGTCATCTTCCTATGAGATTTGACCGCACTTTGTCCAATCAACAATGTTGTTACAAACGTATGCTTGCGCTTGCTATGCCCGCCTTTGAAACATTGAGTGCAAGACATCTGCCAAGAAGGACACTTACACGATCTCCCTTTCGCAAATTCAATCAGACAGACCCGTTTTTAGCAACAAGGCCTGCGTGCACGTCCCTGATAGCAGTAAAACCTGCTGGCCGCATCGCGCTCCGCACGGCAGCCTCCTCTCTCATTCTTGCGTCCTGAACCTTGAGCTTATGCCTTGGACCCTAACCTACCCTAACCATGCCCTTAGCGCGAAGCCTTAAACCGCAAGCTTAAGAGCTATTAAGCTCCGGTGGTTCAGTCACCGGAGTGTCAAAACGCGTATGAACGAATGCTGGTATCGTCTCTGGTCTGGTCTGGTGTGGTGTGGTTTTGTGTGGTGTTTTCGGTGTTGTGTGTTGTGCATATGTTTGTAACGGTTGAATGATGGTGTATGCATGTAATTATGCATGTACCTGTGTGTATGCGCATGTGGTATGTCTGTGTATATTTGTCGTTATGTGTATATGTGTGTGTCTTGTCTATGTATGTGTATGTATGTGTATGTATGCGTATGTGTATGTATGTGTATGTGTGCATATGTATGTGTATGTATGTGTATGTATGTGTCTGTATTGTATTTAATGTCATGTAATGTCATGTAATGTCATGTAATGTCATGTAATGTCATGTAATGTCATGTAGTGTAATGTAATGTAATGTAATGTAATGTAATGTAATGTAATGTAATGTAATGTAATGTAATGTAATGTTATGTTATG